GGTAGGGTGCTTTCTGAAGTGCTAAGTTTATTGGTCAGTGAGCTTTTTCCCGTTTTTCCTCTTCTGCCGTTTTCTGTTGGCGAATGATATCCTGTGCTGCTTGCTGCATTTTCTCCAGTTTTTCCAGAGTCAGAGATTTTAAGGGTAAAAGTTTGGGTTTACACAGCACCATTGTGGTTATGTCTTCCACCGACAGTTGCCCTTGTTTTGGAAGAACCTCCCGGAACATTTTCACATCTGCCATGTTGCCAGTACAATGTTTTCCTTTTTAGGTGAAGATTATTTATAAATATCATGTGAAGAAAATACATTTATAATGCAGCCATCTTTGTTCACGGATAGTATCTTTCCTGTGGTCCCACCTGGGGCCTACGAACAGAAGAGTCCCTTCCCGGTCCGCTCCGCCGTTGCCCAGGGTAACGGTGAGATTTGGGCGAAGCCTTCCAGGCTATTTTGACTAACGTTACTATGAGCATGGGTGTACAGATAATCTGAGTTCTGCTTCAGTTCTTTTGGTATATACTCAGAAGTGGAATTACAATGCACTGATCTTGAACTTTGCAGCACCCAGAATTGTGAGAAGTAGATTTATGTTGCTTATAGGCTGCTCAGTTTACAATATTTTGTTACAACAGTCCAGATGGACTAAGACAAATTAGTAGTGATGGTTACACAGTTCTCTAAGTATACCAAACCCCACTAAATTGTTAACTTTAAGTGGGTAGATTTCATAGTGTGTAATGATTATCTCAATTAAAAATTTTAATTGTTTATATCTATAGGGTACACTGTGATAATTGCAGTACATGTATACAGCATGTACTGATCAAGGTAACTTACATTTCCATCTCATTATTTCTTTAGAAGCTTTCAGCTCCTGTCTTATAGTTATTCATCAAACATATGTTATTGTAAATTATAGTCACACTGTGTTCCTTAACTGTATTTTGGCTCAAAGTTGTCTCTTATTTTTCTACCCCTGCCTTTCTAATAGTCAACTCTTCTACTCTTGCTTACTTTTAAAACTTGAATGCTGAGGATTGAAACCAGGGCCTTCAATGTGCTAAGCTTGTTTTCTACTACTGAGCTGCTTAGAAGTTACTAGGAGATATTTTTAATTTTACTTCTTCTGTTTATTTGGAATCACACTACTAAATAAACAGTTAAAGAAAAATCCTAAGGGAATTGTACTTGGAAAAGAATGACATAAACACATAACAAAATGTTAGGAGGAAAAACCTTTAAGAATGAACTAGATGCCCATCTGGAAAAAGAACAACAGGCCCAGGCGGAGCGGGGAGATTGTTTGCACCGAGCAGTGAAGTTAAGCAGTTGAATGTTCCTATAACTGGTAAAATACATGTAGTTCTTGCTAAAAACTTTCCCTGTAAGAGAAACAAAATGTTCACAATTCTGCTGACAACTTCTACCAAATTTTTAAGGAATAAATTTCTAATTTATTCCCACACCCAGATAATTGAAAAAGGGAATAGTTCTTAAATCACTCTGTAAGTCCAGTATAGGCTTGACATGAAATGTAGAGCTGGGCGTGGTGGTGCACGCCTGTAATCCCAGCACTCAGGAGGCTGAGGCAGGAGGATCACTGTGAGTTAGAGACCAGCCTGGGCTACAGAGTGAGCTCAAGGCTAACCTGAACTGCAGAGTGAGACCCTGTCTCAAAAAGACAAAAACAAGAAACAAAAAGACATTGAATCTAGAAAAATAGCAAAAATGGAGAATTAGTTTTATTTCATATATGAATAGACAAAACAAAATTTTAAAGAAAATATTAGCAAGTGCAATTCAGTAATGCATGAGATTATGACAAAGATAAATTCATATTAGATACTTACAGATGTTTTTAAAACCCACAGGTGTCCTGTTCCAAATATACCCTTCTATAAATTGCAGTGGGGGGGCTGATAGAAGATATTACATGTTGCCAGGCTAGTCTGGAACTTGGGGGTTCCAATGATCTCCTCACCTACGTCTCCTGAATAGTTGGGATTACAACAGTGCACCACCATGCCTGGCTGGTGTGTGGATTTTAAAACCACTTCTCTATTATCTATGTGGCATCTTTTTAGGGTCCTTTAATAGTGACAAGTAAAAGTCACCATTCCCTAATAAGCTCAAGCTTTTTCCTGTATCCTGTCTCTGGGGTGGTTGCTACTTACTATAGTACCGTATTTTTTTCATTAATGCTTTTCATCTTTCAATAACTACTTATTAACTTATTTTACAATTTTATTAAAACAGCTCAAGTAGTTTCTCTATGCTTGATTGAAACAATCCATATTATAGTTTACCATTTTGGTACAGTAAAGGAAAAAATGGGTTCAGAAAAAGGAGTAGATAAAATTCAACAGTTTATTAAGGAAGAGGCCATCAGAAATTAAGACTTGAAGGAATTTCCAGTTGCATATTTTTTTAATTCTAAACAAAGTCATCCTAAAGGAGAAATTGAAGAAATATTCCATTTAAAATGAGAAATTAGATAAGATACCCACAGATTTTTACAGTTTGTACTGGTTCTAGCCAGTGTAGCAAGACAAATATTAAAATTAGAAAAGAAAATGAAAGTGTAACTTTTGGTCATTCATGTAAAACTCAAGGAATCTGACAAAATGTTACAAGTAAAAATGACCTATATGCCATATGCTAGGCCATAACAGTTTCAACAAATTTCATTGGCTTACATTACACAAACTGTGTTATTGCCAGGGAGTTAAGCTTTATATCAGTAACAAATGGTGATCAGAAAATTCCCAGATGTGTGCTATCTGAGCAGTATACTTCTGAATAAAAGAAAAATACACAATTAGAAAATACTTTTAACTGAGTGATAATGAAAATACTGTCTGTCAAAATAAGTGTATTTCCTGTGCTTAGAGGGAAATTAATATCCTTAAATGTGTATCTTGGAAACCAAGACAATGATCTAAGTACTCATCTATGGAAAGTAGAGAAATAACAGCAAAAATTAAACCCAAAGACAAGAAGATCAGAGAGAATTACTAAAATGGGACGCATGCGGAGTGGGAAGAATTAAAGCCAAAAGTTCTTTGAAAAGTCATTTAATTTGTAAAACCCCCACGAGGCCGGGACAAATGAAAAGATACCACTAAAGAGCGTACGGACATTCAAACTAAGAACTGCTGCCAGTGTTAGAAACTTGACGAAAAATGGGCAAATAATGAGATAAGCACAGATTATTAAAATTCAAGAGAGGAAGTAAACTCCAGGCCCAGAAGCATTATTGTATTCTTCCAAACAATTAAGGCAGAAAGGAACATTTATCAGGTTGTTTATGAGGGTGGTAAGTAAATCTGATATCCGCGCTGACAAAACAAACGTTTGTGATACCAAAATCTGACAAGAAATGGAAAAATTACGAACATATGAATGAGTTGGGTTTAGGGAATGCAAGTTAGGGTTCTCATTCACAAATCAGCGATACTCATATTTATGGAAATAAGTAAATTTAATCAAGAGGCTAAGTTTAGGTTAGTATGCAGATGTCTTTAGCTCAGCACTGAAAGGATGACCCATGAAAAAGGAACTACTAGATGACCTAGTTGAAAGGTTTACTCTTTGAATATTACTGTTAAGATTGTTAAGAGAAGGAGAAAGGGATAAAGGATTTATATCATGAATGTATATTTTAAAACTTTGAAAATCCAGTAATTAGCAGTCAACTCGATTTTTAGAATTTGGCACAACATTTTGAATAGACATGGCTCAGAAGATGACATATTACAGATAAGCATGTGGAAAGCTGGGATTTTTAACTGTATGTTAAGCCTGTAAGGGTTTCAAAGATACATGTAGTACATGTTAGCAGCTCGTGCAGTTTACAGTCATCTTGGACAGTTACATATACACACCACAGCTGGTTTCTTCTTTTTAAATCCACTTCCCTCTCCCTCCCTTCCTCCCTCCCTCCAATTCCCTTATCCCATTTTCCACTCTTATTGATATTACTAATCTTAGTTTATGTTACAGCACTTAGTTATGTTACAGCACTTAGTTTATGTTATGTAATGTTTACATTAAATTTCTGGAAGTTAGTGACAGTGATGGTACAACTCATCAGAATGTCTGGGACACTATGAAAGCAGTTCTAAGAGGAAAATTCATCACAGGCAATGCTCATATTAGGAAAAGAGCAAGCTCAGATCGATAGCTTTCTGAGAAATCTTAAGATACATGAGAAACAACAACAAACAAGCCCCAACTAAAAAAGAAAACTAGAGGCCAGTCTCCTTAATGAGCGTATGTGCAAAAAATCCTCAACAAGATATCAGCAAATAGAATGCAGCACTTTATCAAAAAGATCATACGTCATGGTCAAGTAGGTTTCATTCCAGAGATGCAGGGATGGTTCAACACACACAAGTCAATAAATATAATACATCACATAAACAGAAACAAGGTCAGAAACCATACTGTCATATCACTAGATGCACAAAAGGCTTTTTGCAAAATCCAACACCCTTTCGTAATTAAAAAAAAAAAACCCTGAAGAAAACATAGAAGGGCCGTACCTCAATATGATGAAAGCTATGTATGACAAACCAATAGCCAGCATCATAGTAAATGGGAAGAAACTAAAAGTATTCCCCTTAAAATCAGGAACAAGACAAGATGTCCACTATCACATCTATTCAACATAATACTTTGAGAAATAAAAGTCATACATATAGGAAAGGGAGAAGTCAGATCATCACTATTTGCAGATGACATGATAATTTACATAGAAGACCCAAAGAACTCCAACAAAAACTGTTAGAATAACATGTCAACATTGTACAAGATTAACACAAAAAGTATTAGCATTTGTGTACACTAACAGTGAGCAGAGTGAGAAGGAAATTATGAAAATAATACCATTCACAGTAGCTTCAAGAAAAACGAAATACCTAGGAATTAACAGCCAAGGAAGTGAAAACCACGATACTCTGAAAAAGGAGATTGAAAGGGGCATCAGAAAATGGAAAGGTGTTCCTGTTCCTGGATAGGCAGAGTCGGTGTTGTCAAAATGGCCATACTCCTAAAGTATTTTTTAAGGGTGAATTCCATTCATTTTGTTTTTTGTCTTGGAAGAGCCTGTTCTGTGTCCTGGATCCCCACCGCCCAGGCCTTTTCTGCCTGCCAGGCAGTCAAAGTGGGCAGGTGTATGGTGTCTTGAGTGATGAAGCTATTGCTGTTGTCTTTTCAAAGTCAGCACTGACTGCTAGTTGCCTAACCTGCATTTTTATAGACTGCTTCAAACAGAGAATTAAATGAAATACTTCTTGTATTTATATGTAGATACCTTCTTACATCCCTCTATTAAGTGTATGTTTATCCAAGGGGCTGGAGATTTAGCTCAGCAGCACAGCACCTGCCCGGCAAGTGCGAGGTCGTGAGTTTGATTCCCGGTACAGTCAATCAATCAATCAGTC